AAGATGTTCAAACCTGCTGACTTATGGAAACAATTTCAGCATCAATTATTTTGGAATAAGGCTGAAATTTGTTTGCAGTCCTTGAAAACATTCAAGACAATCTATCCCAAAGGTTGGGCTTTTTTTATACCAGAAAAAGATGATAAATCCAAAGCAATGAATTTGAAACGACACGAGTAGAACGTCCTTCTTGCATAAGTATTTTTTCCAGTTTATTTTGGACTTCTAAACATGTAGTAAGAAACAAAAAAGTAAATAATTGCTTTCTGGAACAGGAACAGTCTTACAGCAGTAGCTCTGCCGTAACTACTGACACAACCTCCAGGATGCTCCAGTGCAAACAAGGCCCCCGCAGCACAGCCCCGATGCCACCGCTGCGGGCTGCCCGCTGTTGGTACGGACACTACGCTTCTCCGCAGAAACACGAAGGGGAAACAACCCACCAGGAGAGAGTATTTCACCCCAGCAAGCGCTGGCCAAATCCCAGCTCTGCCAATATACAGCGGCAGCAGGCATTAGCCAAACAGTTTTCTGTGAATAAACATCAGCTTGCCCGTCCATGCGTGGATAATTATGGTGAGTTAAATTGTGTACATTGTCACAGCTGAGGGAAAACCACCTTTGCCTCTCCCCTCACCCACCTGTGCTCCAGAGGACCCCACTGCAGCATAAGGACCTTTCAGACTGAGGTTTTTATTGACTTAATTATCTGCAGCCTTTCACTGTGGCCAGGCTGTCTTAAAAAACCACAAGCATATGTGGTTTTGTTTTCTAATACTTGTTAAGCATAGAAGAAATTGCTTGCTAAAAATTCTTCATAATACTACACACCAACAGGTGAATTCCCGTTCCTTACTGGCAGGCAGGGCAGTCCTGCAGGTGGGGAGCTCTCAGGCACTAAGGATCTCAATGGGAAAATTCCCAACCCTCCACTCAAACCACTTTAAATGCCCCCAAGGACCACCTTTCCCAACTGTAAAATAAATTTATACCGAACCCTAACAAACAAGCATTCCAGGTGCATTAATCTGCAGTCCCAAACCTTTTCAAATTCTCAGGGGGAAAAGAAAAAATGCCATCTGTGATGTGCAGCAGCAATACCGCCCGGCCGCCCTGCATCACCACCCATCGGCCTCTTCCAGCCCTTTCTGCAGAGGCCAGTCTCCTTATCTGCGTGGACAAACGGGAACGCTGCGGCACCCAAGCAGCTTCTCTGCAGACACCCCGCAGAGCCACAGCAAAACCAGATCACAAACCTCCTGATCGCTAGGCAAACGCTCTGTCCATTCACCTATGTTATCCGTTACACAAGTAAAAGGTAACGGCTTTTGTCATAAAATGACAAGGATATCGACACTCGAGGCCGAGTTCTGCTCACGCTTCTCCCCTCATCTCATATGTACTGTGGCATAAGAGCATCCTGCCAGGCTTTGTGCTGCTAGCCCAGCGAGTGAGAGCAGAACAATCCTAAATGGAAACCTGATCTGGGCACAAACGAAAGCTACCATCAATCGCGGGTCTCCCACCGAGTACCCAACCCACGTGTACAAGCGTGTACTGGGAGAGACGGACCTTGGAAAAGCATGCTCAGGCAGCATCTTAGGTCAGAAGACAGCAAAATGCCATCCAAGAGAATGATCAGATTTTAACTAGCTATAGCAAAATACGTTTCTGGGAATATTGCTGCTCAATAGCTCAACACTGGAGCTGTTACACCACAGATAAGTACCATTCCTAATCCCTGCCGTCAGCCAAAACGTAAGAAAACATAAGACAGGAACCCTCTCTGCAGCAGATTCTACCCCATTTTTCAGCGCCCCTGCCCAAGACTGACTTAAAGGGAACACCATCACCTTTTGTAGATGTGTTTGAATCACACACACACAGGAACCCTCTGAAAGGCCCCACAGATATGCAACAGAAGTATCTGTGACATTAAATGCATTAGTCTGCCTACTGTGCTTTCAGTGAGTGTTTGAATTACCCTTGTCCTGATTAGAAGAGCTACTGAGAGCATCGGAAATCATCACTAACACCTTCCTAGCACGTATCAGATCATACCGCAACATTTCGTCAACGATCATTAAGATACGGTTAACTGCTTCAGCAGAGACCTTACCTGATGACCGACGCTGCCTTGGATGTCAGAAATGATAGCAGAACCTCTCTTTGCTACCGTAATAGCAGGAGCTATTCTCCCTCAGCCATAAACAGATCATCTTCCATCCCAGCAAAGTGGGCTGCAGAACTCTTCTCCCTTTCAACACTGAGGACGATTTTCCTCCTGTTTCATCAGGCAGCAGAAGCAATCATCTTCGTAAGCAGCAGCTGACACCTATTTGCTAGGTAATTGCTGCAGGGAAGGGGATTAAGCACGCCCAACTCCCTTCTGGGGGTAAGGCAAAGCCCCCCTCTCCCCGCTGCGACGGGAGGGGGGGCCGACCAAGCCGGCCGGACCGGGGACACCAAGGCCGCATTTTCAGAGCAGGTCTGCCAGAGAAATGCCACAAAGTTCGCTTTAACGGGTTCTCTTGTCCCTTCGCTTTTATTAACGCTTGTATTTTTTCATTTTAGGTACGGTACCACTTACCTTTCTTCCTTTTTAAGCACGACATTTTAAAATCGCATGATTTACTGACACAAAAAAAAAAGCTTTGCGGATTGATTCTTACCTCAGAAGTGCCAATTCCACATCATCCCGTGGCTTAAGAGAAACACACGACACCCAAAACTTTGCACTGTTTAAACGTTATTTTATTAAATATCTTCAGTTCAAGGTTTCATTGTAACAAAGCTATGAAGGTTCTACCAACATTCAGACCAAACAAACAAACACTAGTTAACTTTAATTATTTCTATGTCATGCAAAAATTCTGCATCAAATGCCTTCCATTTCCTGTTTAAAATGTGATATTTATAATATATATTATATAGATGCTTATATTAGCCCCGTAAGAGAACATTAAGAATGCTAAATGTGTACAGCTGTGTTTGATAATGGCCATACCAAGCTAAGGTTCTCATTAACTTAAAAGGAAACAAAAACAAAAAAACCCAAAAGAGAGTTTGTCTCCAAGACTGTGCAAAACCAAAAAAACCCCAACAGTTCTGTTCTTTTTAAATTTTCTCTGAAAGATGCAGATGCGTAATACAGAGGGTTTTCTTTTTAATTATTAATAATCATCAGGTAAAGAGGCAAGGAAGATCAGACCTAAAGAAGGCATGCATAATGTTTTGTATTTAGCTTTTTAAAATGGCATGAGAATTGTAATCTCCTGTTTGCTCTCTCTTTGTGGCTTTAAAAGAAAAAAAATCTGAATAAAATAGCAAGGATTTTCACTTTTCCAGTTCACTCACTGGCTTAGTGCTGTCTTAAAAATGTTTTGAAATAATAAAATCTAGTGTTTGTCCCCCTCTGGGTTCAAAACCCACGCTCCTCCCTGGGGTGGTGGAGGGAGGAAGAAAAGGGTATTTGCTCAGACTGGTCTGGGAAGTGTGGATGGTCATCGCCTTCATCAGAGGTTGGCCGATCCGGTCCCGGTGTGGGACAGCATCTCTAATCAAGGCAGCAGGGGTCTGGGAAGTGTGGATGGTCATCGCCTTCATCAGAGGTTGGCCGATCCGGTCCCGGTGTGGGACAGCATCTCTAATCAAGGCAGCAGGGAGCTGTTGGCTACAAAGCCACAGCTCCACTCTGTGCAACAGCTTCTCTGTTCTGCGTTCTGTTCTGTAAGGATTAAAATTCCAAATTGCCTTTCTTCTCCTCCGTAGTCTGGAAAAAGGCTGCCTCACACTTAGTATGCTGTCAGCGTAATCATCGCTGTTACTCCCTCGAAAGATCCGGAAAATGCTTAGGGGCGGACAGAAACAGAGGTGAAAGCCCATCCCAGCGTCTGCAAGCAAAGCCTTCCCTTGGCCAAGACAAACCCTACCGGGATTTTCTTCCCGGAGCTAGGCTCCCTCCTTGGGAAGGGCAACACCCCACTTCCACGTCCCCCACCCAGCACCTAAAGGGAACGGATCCTTTGGTGGCAAAGGAAAGCAAGGAAGGTCAATTGGCCCGAAGGACAAACGCCAGCTCAGGCGTGCTAAACCCCCTTCCCCGCCACTTCACGAGGGATCCTCTAACCCCCAGAGGAACGCGGGGAGGTGGCCTGGAGGCCTTCAGCTACGGTTAGCGAGGTTCTGATCTGAGAGCTTGCTGTGTTACAGCATCACTGTAAAAAATAGAAAAATTACCCAAATAAACACTAGGAAACATGACACTTACAAACATCAGATGGGTCAGTGGTGGGGAGAAGCAGCACGGCCGTTTCACGCAGAGAGCAAACACATCAAACAGGAGGCCAGGTAACCCCTGCAATTCTACGGGTGCATATATTTCAGTATAAAAAACACACGCTATTTATGCCTCATATAGGAGTGTATGTGCAAGTCTTCATGAAGAACGTAACACTAAGTTTTTTGTCTGCTTCCTAAGGAACACGTGTTCTGCAGCTCTGTGGATCCCAGCTATACGCAGAGAGCAAACACATCAAACAGGAGGCCAGGTAACCCCTGCAATTCTACGGGTGCATATATTTCAGTATAAAAAACACACGCTATTTATGCCTCATATAGGAGTGTATGTGCAAGTCTTCATGAAGAACGTAACACTAAGTTTTTTGTCTGCTTCCTAAGGAACACGTGTTCTGCAGCTCTGTGGATCCCAGCTATGCTACTAGAAAGGAAAACAAAAATGGAAAGTCCCATGCATGTACCCTCTTCCTCTGACATCTCTGCTCTTAACGCAATGCTTTTTTTTGGTTTGTTTTGTTAAATTAAATAATCTGGCTTCAAACCTCCATGTCTGGCCAGGTAGTGGCTGTTTCTAAAACCATTATCTCTGAAGAGCAAGCTTCTATTTAAGTTATATTCACTTAAACCCATTTTTTTTAATCCCTACTTCCACCTTTAGTTTTAAATCAACATCCCATTTTCTGTAGTTTTTTTTTTTTCCTTTTAAAAAAAAGAAAAAGTCTGTTTTGGGATCCAGCAGCCGAGCGACCAGCTTTCCATAGCGTTCTTGCTGTGCAGAAACCGAAGAAACAACTCAGGCTGAAGTCCGTCTGCCGGGCAGCAGGACGAGAAGCGCCCGCTCTCCCTCGAACCCCAGTCTTCACACTGGCTCCTTTGGGGCCTCCTCACCACCTCGCACCGACTGAAGTCGCAGCACAGCCCGAATGCGATGTTAGCTCCCACCGTGGCTCTGCGGAGCACAGTTCAGCCATCCGCTGCTCAAGCCGCCTCCTTTTTTGCTCTCCCTCTCTCTTTCTCTCTCCTTCACTTTTGCTTTCCCCCTCACTTCATTTCTGAAAGATGTTCCAGCTGCTGCCATTTTCTTAGCCCTGGGGGAGGGGGCACGTTGGATAATCTGTCATTTATTTAGCATTACTCCTGTTTTTTATAATTTTATACAAACAACATGTCTTTTTTTTTTTTTAGATTTAAAAACACCTTCGTACAGCAGAAACAGACACGATGGATCCATGGAAAACAACAGAAAGGCAGTGCCTGGAGCATCAGATGCATGCAGGGTTTCGTGCATTTGGCTGCTGCCTGTTTGTAATTTGTATTTATTTTTTTTTAATGTCAAAACAGACATGACCATTGCTGTCACTCAGGCACTCCAGAGCTGCTTGCTAAGAAGATATTGCCCTCCAGCTGAGTATCTCCACAAGTTGCTGCAGTCAGGAAGAGGCAGTGTCCACCCAGAAAGAAGAGAGGAGAACAGGATGGAAGGAAAACAAAGCCACACATTAGCTGTACATAATTAATGGAACACATTTTCTACAGGCTAATTATCTGGTGCAGCCAGAAACCCCTCGTCGGGGCAGCACAGCCTGGGGCTCATGAGGAGAGCCCTGCAGACGAGAGGCACACACCTTCTCTTCCAGGTGGCTGTGCGTGCCAACGCAAACCAACTACTTGCTAAAAGGAATTACTCGCTGGCTTGGAGCAGACCGGGGCCTGCTACCTACTCGTGACACATCCCGGAACGTGCAGAGGTTTCCCAAGGGGGGGATCAAAGCCTCTGGACCTGAGGAACAGTTTCTGCCTCACTTCCCACTGGCTTTTGCCTTGAACAGAAATATTTTTTTTTTTCTGTTTTGAAGTCTTCAGTAACTTTGTCTCTGAATATTCTTAATATTTAAACAAATGTATGAGATACCTGCTGTTTTGCAAAGCTGTGGCCCTAGTGACTGCCTTTAGCAAAGGCTCCTCCTAGCTAATCTTCTTGTGTCAAATTACTGGATTTATTTTGATCAGTTCTAAGTCTGGCATTTTTTTTCATATTTGTTTAGCTCTGTCCTGCCATGAAAGTGTAGCCAAGATCATCTTTCTACCATTTCTGAGTTTGCAAATCTTTGTGGCAAACTCTCTTACTAGTCTTCTCCCTTCTTGGTTACTACTCTCTCCTTACACACAAGTCCCCTGATTAACCTCAAACTTCTTTAACAGCTGCAGTTTCCTTTTGAGGCAATTTACCCAAAGCTGACCCCTGCCTTCCAGGTGAGAACAAACTACTGATTCCTGTTTAATCATTCTTATTCATCTCACTCCTGCTTCATCCTTACCCATGGGCCAACGCTGCTCCAGAATGATTCCATGTGTTCAGATGGGGGCTGCCCACACTGACCCCACTCATAATCCCATGTGATTACACCTCCTTCAGAGCCCAGAAAGGCATGCGAAGATTTCAACTTCAATTTAGTTTATAGAGGTTTTTAAAATACTGTTTCAAGCAACATTTTGTGGTTTGGAAATGGCTTCGGGTCTGCAGTTTTCAGAAACCCTCCAGCACAGCCAACATGCCTCTTCCGCAGCAGCTGAGACGCTCCATTCCTAAGTTTCCTTGGAACTCCTAGGCATAGCCACTGAGCCATACTGATCTTTAACTTAATTTCTTCTGCATCTTTTTTTGGACTAAATCCAGCACAGAAGTCTCCCTTAACATCTCTGTGATGAAAACTGATGGAAGTTATTTTTTTGTTTCCTGCAAAGGCTGTCTCCTTCTCCCTGCCTTGCTCCCTGGCAGTTCAAGCTGATTGTCCAGCTCTCTTGAAAGCTCTCCTGCTCCCGGTGCCCCCAACGGGCTTTTGCTTTCCAAATTCCATCTGTGACCTCTGCAGTTTGCTTGTGATAGTTCACATTCCTTTCCATTGCCTTCAGTAGGGTTGAATCCCTCCCAACGCATAACAATAACAACTGCTCTTGGCTTAGTCCCGAGTAGTACACAAGACTAGGACTCAAGCAGCAACTATACTTGAGTGGTTCATCCTCAAAGCACCACATTAAAAAAAAAGCACATCCCCCTCTTCTGTGTTTGCTCTTAAACAGAAAATGTTCAGTAGAAAGGTCCTGAGATTAAGAACCTTAGACCTTTTAAATGAATGTGCCATATACTTCAGCATAAAACGAAAGGAGGCAGAAAGACTTTGTATGTGTAACTAAAAGAAATCAGTCAGCCAATAAACAAGAAAGCCTAAATGCTGCAGGACCTGCTGTCCTTCAGAAGCAAGCAACGATTGCTTTTTCGTGTCAAATTTTATAATCAAAGTTTCCTCCAGTGCTGAATTGTGGCAAGCTAATTGGGGGATATTTTAAATCCTCCGATATTACTATTCGTTTAGATTTTTTTTCTTTTGAGTTTTCTCAACATTGTACACCAAATAGCTTCTGCTAATCAGAAAATCGGAAGTAAAATTTATATGAATAAGTCTTTATCCTTATGGCACAGAAATTGTGCTGTACAGATTTTACAATATCCTCTCTAGAATACGATATTCTCATCAAAAAGGTTCTCTGAAACCACCAGTGTGTAAAAGTAGATCCTTGACAGCTGGGAAACAGCGACCCTGTGCTCAGCATGAGATACTCCTCCTCTCGGCCCTGGATTAGCGCTCTGTCCGAGCGCAGAACCGCGTACCTGGGAGGAAGCACTGCTGCTACAAGGGTAGCTCGGCTCAGGAGCGGCTGTCTGGCACATAACTCCGGTTTGTCAGGAGTGGCAGACAATCCTGCTGAGTCCGGAGGACAGGGCTTAGTGAAAGCAACACCAACTGACGCACAGAAGTTTTTAGCCTACAGACAACTAAAAACGGTTCCCTCGCAGCCAGCTAAACAGCCCTGAATACTGAATCCCCACTTGCAGCAGCCTTCGCTGCATGTGTGACACGCTCCCTTCCCTGACCACCCGTACCCGTATTCGATCCTCACTGGAGAGGTGCCGCAGGAGCTCCAGAGCAGTGGTAGTGGACATTCAGCCACTTGCCATCTCGGCGGTGCCAGACGCGCGTCTCTTCGGACTGCGTGGTGCGGGGCCGGCCTTGGCCGTCGATGTACTGCGTCAGGCGGATGTACGCAATGCAGGCAGCATCTTCTCCGATGACATGGACGTGGGGGTTCAGGATGGTGGTGTGTATCGGCTTGCTGTTCTTCGACAGTACTGGCAGAACACGCAAAACCATCAGCTTCATTTTACTGCTGAGAAGGAACAGCCCCCGCATCCCCCAACCTCTTTTGTACTCTACTCACCTTCCACTGGACTCTGGGATACAATAAAAAGGTGCTCCTGCAATTTTCCAGGCAAAATCCGAGCAATTCTTTCCCCTGTCACCTGTTCTTCTCCTTAGGAACTGCGCACTTATCACTGCCTAGAATCCCCTGGCCCCTTCGCTCCCCCTTCTTCCACAAAGCATACTCGCCACTTTTTCAACCTCAGTGCTGCTGTTTCTTCAGTTACAGGAAAAGATCTTTTAATCACAGAATATCGTTGCAAAGGACTTAATAATCAGGAGATCTTTAAGCCAGGCCTGCATTAAATATGAGCAAGCCTCAGAGAAGTGTAAAAATCGCTCCAGCACAGGCTCTTGAGAGAGACAAAGCCTCTGCCATACTTAGAGTGCTAGGAACTCTCTGTACTAAGGACCTAAAACAAATGAACAGCTCAGGATTTAAATTTCAGTTATCTCATCCTGTGGAGACATCCAGGAAGGGAGGCAAACCCACCAGTGTAAATGATAGCATTTCTCCCAACTCTTTTTCCTGCCCCAGGCTGACAAGGTGACCCCTGTCCCACGTAAGGGGTTCACTAGGCGTTAGAGATCTGAAACCGCCCAGGGAAAACTCAAAGCAAGGGCAAGGCTGGTTTGTGCGTGACTATCTTTATGCCTGACCATTCAGTACGTCTACCCCAAACATACGTGTTGTTTCCATCAAAACACGCTCATTTTTTCCATCCCTGTATCAGTAGGAAATCCGGTGCCTCAAACTCCTAAAGCTCCTGCAGTCCATGCTTACAAAATATTTGCAGCAGGCAAACTGTATCCCTACAGTGGAGGGATTTGGGGGTTAGAATTGAAACCGTTGCTGAAGAAGGGTTTTGAGAGCAAGCATGCTGGCTCTTACGAATGCATCATAACCCATGCACAATCACGTTCGTGCTGGTTCTGCCAGCCAGTAAAAACCAGGGCAATTTCCTCCCCCAAAATGCAGCATAAAGGAAGATTAGAGAGACAGCTGGTGGTGTTACCAAATCTACCCACTCACAGTTCTCAAAGTAAAACTTATGGAAATCCATTCCTTCCACCAGGTTCCCCAGTGCTTCAGGTTCAAATGAGGTCAAGCCAGGATCACAGATTTTTCTGCAAAGAAAAGCACCACAGGCTTACAGTCTGCGCTTGAGCCCCAGGGCTGTTTACATAATGAAGTGCTCCTACGGCAACTGACTCACACTTTGTGTCCACCTAACTACTTCCCTACTCCAAGGAGTAAGTTCCTGAAGGACTCAGTCTAACTACCACAACACGGAGTCGGTGCTAGCTGGTATTTCACATCAAACAAACCTCTAAGGTTTCTGGTTTTTCTCTTCTTCTCTTTTTGCCCATCTCGCTGCCACCCCCCTTTCCTTACACAGCCAGGACATTTTCCTTATGTCGCTCCTGTTGCTGTCCGATACCTGACTGCTACCTGATGTTCATTTAGAGAGCTCTACCACATCCTTACTCCTAATGGATGGAGACTAAAACGCGTAAAACTCTTTACCATCCCTGACTGCATGTCAACTCCTCACACCCAGGAGCCGGAACATCACATGCACACAAACCGGTAAACAACCTGTACTTACGTGTAAGCCTCAAAGTCTCCGTTGTTGATGGCTTCTATCAGCTGCTCTGTTATCTTAATGATCTCCTGCTTACGCACTGCAAACAAGAAGAAAAAGCAATTTCACTGTGAGCAAGACTTCAACGCGAATACAGGGCTAATGGGTGCTTCCTACAAGCAATTTGTGGAGCACCGTTAGTCTAGATCTCATCGGATGCTGCTCCCTGCATTCTGGAGATATGCAGTAATGACAGCCATCCGCATGAGAGAGCAGGGGGGCAGTGGCATGAAAGGGCAATGGTGATCCCATAATGTGGGGAGAAGGGAAATAAAGATGTCATATTCAATTTTTTTCTTCTCGAAAGGTCTAAGGCACCAAAGGTGTCTCCTGAATGACAGCCTGAGGTGCTCCTGGGGAGTCTGACCAATGAACGTCAGTGAACCTGCCAACATGCAGCACTTTAGATGTGGAAACCCTTAACCACAGCAGTCATATACAAATGGCCACCATACAGGTCGAGCCAATTGGAAAAAGTCTCCCAGCAACTTGCCTATCACCATCACCAAGACCTCAGCTACTACGAATGCTGCAAACAAGCTACTGGGACACATAGGGATGACTTCTGCAAGCTAGAAAGACAACCGCAGCAGGACGGATGGGTTGGATGAACAGGTCCTAGCTATATACTAGCGCGCACTCCGTTTCCCAGGCAGTTAGCTTCTGCCGATCCCCACGGCACGATTCTTTACAGCACTCTGACAGCATTGCCATCAAACCAACCCTGTATGCTGGACCTTAAGATGGATGAAGACAGGGGCCAGCTGTTCTTTGGCCCCTCTCTGGCCAGCACCTCTGCACTCTCTTGTTGTGGTTTCCCACAGGTGACTGCCCTGGCCTCATCCCCTCTGAGGTGCTCCATCACGTGCGCTGATCTCAAGAGTCCTTAGCACTCGCAAAGTTTGGGTCGGCTCTGTTAAATGCAGTTCTAGTTCTATGACTATCTGTGCGCCGTATATATGCCTGAGCCTGTACGCACACCCTCATATCTCTTCAGCCTTCCCCACACTTTCCCTGTAGGCAGACTATCCTGCACATTATACAAACGTAATGGTCCAACATTACCTTCAATATTACCAAATAATTTACAATTCCTACCACCAGAAGTGGAATTTATTGGCCCTTAGGCATCTAAAACGCAGGTGTCTGAAATGGAACCAGTCCTCTGACTGTTCCTCCTTTAGGCCCTGAAAGAAGCAGGCACCTGTGGAAGTCTCACCTGAGGCATCTGGGATGCCCATCGTTAGGGGGATGGTGTTTAAATCCAACCTAACACCTTTAGATGTCCAAGCCAGGGAAGCCGAATTCCACTCCAAATGCCAGAAGACGCTAGTCTGAACCGCCCGCCCCCAGAAACTTCCACCCACGTGTGCATCTCACCCCACCATTGATGAGCGTGGCTGAGGAGCAACAAGGTGATAACCTCACTGGCTACGAGAGACGCCTGTGCCCACTCTGGAATCAGTTTAAGGAACTATGCTACCCAGCCAGCCACCGAAATGTCTCAGACTGGGGACAACCAGCTCATCGTAGTGAAGGAGCTGGTTTTCCCATGCAGGCTGTAGACATTTCCACACGTCCAAAGATGTACACAGGGAACGGATCAAAGCGACACAGCGGGCTACGCCTACGGTGAAAAACATCCTTACAAGCCAATCCTCTGGAATTGCTTCCGCACGAAGCAGGGCTGCTTGCTGGAGCTCCCTCCCACGCAGAGCACACGCGAAGGCGCGCAACGGCTGGAAGACGGAGCCCACGGGAAAGGCTCCCTTTGGGCCCACGGAGGAGATCGGCATCCCACGGAGCCTTGTCCAAGGGCCACCCTCTCCCTCCACGCGAGACCACCCCATCGGACCGCGCTCCTCTGCTTGCTGTTACCAGACGGCCCGAGGACC